TTAAGGAATAGTGATAGATGACATCTGAGATGGAACTATTATGTTGACCAAGTGACTATAGCATTGAGGAGCATACTTTATAGATTTAAGTACTTACGAAATATACTAGATACCTCGCGAATGAAAACCATTTATTATGCAATTATAGAGTCTCGTCTTGCATATGGAATAGTTGGCTGGGGCGGAGTAGCAACATTACATTTGAAAACATTAGATGTATTACAGGAAAAAATTCTAAAAATCCTCCTCAGAAAACCAACACAATACTCATCGGAAACACTTTTCAAAGAATCAAAATTGCTCGACCTCAGACAACCTTACTTCCTAGGAACTGTTGTGGAACAACACAAAAAAACGAACCAAACATTTACTATGTACCTAGATCACAAGCATAATACAAGACTTAATAGATGTATAGAAATTCTATCTGATTCTGAAATGAAACATTTGACATCTTTTTTGAATGAAATAGTTGTCGGTGCAAGTCTGGTTTTCAGAAGTAAGTGATTGTAGAGCTGGTTTGCAAGATGAATATATGTTCTCTGAACGATTGTTTTTGTTGAGCATTTCGTGTTCAGTTACGCATTGGTTTTAATTGATCCCTCGAATGCATGAAATGCGATCATTTTCCTTACTATAATACTTACCCAGAAAAGATGGGTTCATGATCATATTCCTTATATTTCTGTATATTTTTTCTTATACTTCTTTAACCGCATACATTACTTAAGTGTTACTTGAATGCTGCAAAAATGTGTATTTGTATACTAGTCAAATACACTATTCAATGTCACTGCTCCACTATTTTTTTTTTGATATTATAACCGTAATAACCATACACGATGAATGAACACCCACGCCCAGACAAGGCCTTAGTAAGTGTTCTTTTATCACTAAAATTATTTATACTCCGTGAGAATGTCATATTATTTTTTTTACCGAAGTAAGCGCTGGCCAGGCCCTATCCCCCGAAGCCCCGATACTTTCGGGAGGGCGCGCCAGCATTATCAACCAACGACCACCCCTCACCACCCAATGATCACTTACCCTCATGGGGTAAGTGATCATTGGATCCGAGAACCATGTGCCCTGAGCAAGCGCAGTGAGCCAAGAATGACAGCCTTCTGTATCAGTCCGGCTAAGATTTCTGCCTTAGTGCGGCAGGCCGGTATGATTTTGAGATTCGAGAATAGAGAGGGCATCATTCCACCAAGGACTCCAATAATCAGAACAACCATCTTGACAGAGTGCCAAGTTCGAAGAGAAAATCTCGGTATTTTATCCGTTTCTCCTCCTCTTTTCGGACGATATTAGTCTCGACAGGAGCTGAAAACTCCACGACAAATATCGCCTTACTTTGGTGGTCGAGAAGGAATACATCAGGCTTATTAGCTTGTAAGAGCCTGAGGGTGGGGAATGAATAGTTCCAATAAATTCGGCACTTTCCGTTCCCCATAACGGATTCAATATCCCCCGGACCGTAGGGCAATACCGGTGTCTCGTCAATGCCGTAAGAGTGCTGTAGATGGTAATATAGCACTCAAAAGGCCGCGTTATGTCGATGAATATAGGCAGAGACCGCATATGCTGGACATGCTGATAGCTAGTGCATTGGGGTATCGGGCGCCTCGCGGCAGGCTCTGCACCTTGTGTCAGGGCCCTCTATACCCATCACGTGACTGCGGTAGACTAAGGTGTTGAAGACGCCATCCTGGCAAGCCATGATAAACCCCTCAGCTTCCGACTTCTGCCCACTCGACCTGAGGAAAGCAAAAGTCAGGCGCTTTGATCAAGGCCAATGTGCGCTATTTGAATCGGTACACTTATTCCAACGTAACAAATGTCGATTAATTTCGTCAGCATAAAAATTGTGTACTCGGGATTCGACAAAGTCGACGAAGGCCGTTTTTTGCCTGGTACCTATCGACGAAGGTTTTACCGGTGAGAAAGTTATGGAAGTGCTTGAAAAGATATTAATTGATTGGCAGGAGGTGTGGGGATTAAGGTGGATGGCAGAACTTCGACGCTCAATTCGTTTAATTTTCGGACGGTGATTTGTGAAACGTGCAGACGGGCGTTGTCGTGGAGGAAGATGGGTCCTCTTCTGTTGACCAGTGCCGGCTGCTGCTGACGCAATTTTCAGTACATTTTGTTGATTTCCCCACAATAGGACTCTGCTGTGATGGTTTTGCACGGTTGCAGACAATTACAGTGACAATTTCTGTCTATCACTCAAATTGAGTAGCATCCACCTTCTGAACTTTTTGGCTTTTCCAGTACGTTTTAAACCATCAAAAAGCGCATGTAAGCTGACACCCAGCGCTTCCGCCATCTCACGCACCGTTTGTGATGTGTCAGTCTCTACCAGGATCCTCAAATTATCGTCCTTCTTCGAGGCTAAAATCTCCGGCACAAATTTTCGCAAAACAACGTCAAACAGTGCGTTCATTAACACTATCCTTGCCAAATGCCTGGTTCAATTTGAATTCAATTTGAAATTGACCGAAAATTGCTTAACGACATCATATAGGTAATTCATTAAATTTTCAAAGTGATCCGTTGTCTGGTTCACCAGAAACGTCTAATGTGCCATCCACCGTGAATCAGCCTGTATAAAAAAGAGTAAAAGTCAAGTTTATAAAATAGTAGACATAAAAAGTAACAACTTAGTAGCTCGTTATTAAATGAAGGTAAAAAATTTGAGTAAGTCAGTCAAAAACTATCGTTAAAATATTCATCCAAAGTATAATAGGGTCTATCAGATAGAAATTGTTTGACTAACACCCTGAATTGGAAGTCATTTATATTGGCAGATATTATGTTCATAGGCAAATGATTGTACATTTTTCCACCGTTGTAAAATATGGAGTTTCTGGTGATGTTTTTATTTGGTACAGTGAGTTTCAGAGTGTGTCTGCTATTTCGGGTGCTATAATGCGAAGAAGATGCAGCAAAATTTAATTTATGCTTATTTATTAAACACACACAATCCAGTGTAAATAATGCAGTTACCGTTAGAATATAATGTTTTTTGAAGAAGGTTCTACAGGAGTCTCTTGGTTTAAGGTTTCTTATATACCTTATTGTCCTTTTCAGTAAAATTAGTGGACTTTTGAATAAAGTTGGACTGCATGCTCCCCAAAACGGTATTCCGTAGCGTAAGTGAGAATCTATGAGTGCATAGTATACCATCTTTGCAGTGCTGAACTCCAATTCTTTATAAATCACTCTAAACGCATAACAGCCAGAGGAAACTTTTCTATGATCCACATGATCCAAAAATTTTAAATTCTGGTCAATGAACACTCCTAGAAATTTAGTGTTATTTTTAGATTCCAGTCTTCAAAAAGAAGTTCGTTGATTGAGCATCTAAATGATATTAAATTTGTTTTAGTTAAGTTAAAAGATTAAATGTTTGAATCACACAAATCTTTAACTTTTTTCAAGTCGGCTGAGATTATTTTGTGCAACTCATAAGTGTTTTTATTATTCCATCTGCAAATAAGGTAAACTTCGCTGCATCTGTTCGAGAATTGTTTCGTCGGCTTCCAGACTTCCATCGAGTTATATCAGTCTGTCTTGTCTGTTAAAATATGTTTTTCCGTTAACCAGCTGTCGCCTCCCTATGAACGACAGCTCTCAAAAGTCGAAAATTGTGCGAGCTAAGGACTAACGAGGTCTTACCTTTCATCGTGTGACTCCTAACTCGGGTTGGACGATGGGAAGTGAAAATCGATCGTTTGGCCTTGCGGTTCGAACCACCGATTCACACAGCGGTTGATTGAGTGAGTGCGGCAAACCACCCAAACAACCCACAAGGCTACCGTCCCATTACCACGACGAAGGGGAGTCAGTCTAGTTTGGAAAGTGCAGTGAGAATTCAGCTAACAAGAGGATAGACATTTGCGCATTGCTGTGAAGTTTTTTCATTGTAGTAGTGGAACAGTGTAATAAAGTTGCGTTAAATAGTACAGTGTGGTCAATTATTGCCTTACACACCTGTAAAAACGTAACAATATGGTGGACGGATATCGCGAAATGATTTCCCCGTAACGCAGGTGCTTCCAGGAACCTTGACTTTTTCTCATAGTTCCCAACTATAACTTCACATGTGGGAAGACGTGACATGTTTGCCACTCACTATTCGGTTAATAGTCAAAATCGACTCCGTGCTCTGTTTTTCTTTCTACTTCGATAATTCACTAACCAGAAATTCCTTCAATTATTTTCAGAACAGTCATACCAGATGTTAGTGGTCGACTTTTTTCACTTCCGACATTCTGTAGAACACTTGTTGCTATTGGAGTGTGAAACCGAACGAATTTAAAAGTTTAATTCGATAATTAGACCACAATCGTGCGGTCTCTTTATTGTAATTATTTATACGGATTGTTGCACTGGCAAATTGAGAATTGATCATGTTTAAACGAATCTGATATATTTGTTTAGATAAGGTAGACGATTTTGATTTGAACGCTATTGGAAGAAAAGTACATACATCATTTTTTTTTCGAAACGAAATGCCAACAATAGATTCAATTTTAAAAGTTGTAAACTGATTCTGATCTATCAAATTCATTTCATAAATTATTTAAAAAAAGTTTCAAAAAAAAAATGTTATTAACACTATGCAGAAAATCAAAGAGAATGTAAATTTTTCCAAGCTATAAATGATCAAACTTCTGCACATTGATTCGACATGTCTGTTGTATTCTTCAGAATCGAACTTGAAATCAAATTCGGAGAAGGAAGGTATATTTCTTTTCAGCGAAGTCTAACAAAATTGTCATCCTCCTATTCGATTTTCCCATCATGTAACATTTATTCGTTTATTTGAAAATAACATTGTATTGAGTTTCATATCAGTAAAAATCAATTGAAATAATTCCTACGCAAATCGGCGAAACATTCATAACTTTTCCTCAATTGATTTTCACTCTTCATGAAATCATCCTTTCTGTCAGATGCTAATTTAAACGTGAGTTTTCTCTTTCTTGCAGGTTTCAAAATGGGCACATTTACACGTACATCGGCGAGGTATGTGTTTCCGTCAATCCATACAGAACCATGAACATTTATGGGCAAAGTTTCGTACAACAATACAAAGGTAAGTGAAGTGCTTTTTCCGGTTTTCCTTTCTACATAAAATTACTTCGTCACATAGAACACGAGTCTCTTTCGAATGGAACTGAAATCTTACTGGAATAGTGACCTTCTTACATTCGAAAGTATATAGAAAAACTAATTGATTGCGAATTCAGTTTCAATAAGTTAATATTTTTTTCTGTCTACCTACAGGAAGTGATTAACTTGAGAAAACTTATTCAGAAACAAATGATATGAAGGCAGGTGTGCAACCAGGTTCAGTTCTGGGACTCAAACGCTTTCTATTGAAAATGAATCACTTGGCTACTGATACATTCAAACGTAACATCTGTAATGATTTCTTATCCTTCATAATAAAAAGACACGTTCAATACGTATAATTAACTGTAACGTTTTGTATAATAATAATATTTAATGTGTTAAATAAGACGCATACACTTCAGTTACATTTTATTGAATGACTGGGAATTGACCTCGAATTCTGAAAAACTGTCCAACATAAGAAAAACAAGAAAAGAAAATAACATTCAGTTTTTTCATACATTGCTCACCAGTGGCAGGTGGTATTCGAATTTACCACAATCAACTACCACAAATTCACATGGGAGATATTTCAACAGAACAAAATGAAAGGCCCCAGAATTGATCCCTGAGAAACAAAATAGCTAATGAAATATTTTTGTGATAGGGTTGTGGTTTTCCACAATTTTACTCAATAATTATACCATCTTCTGTATATATCACGTAGTGATGAAGTTTTCTCAGTAGTAGAACATCGTGATGTAGATAGTGGATGATCACTAAAATTTCCAGAAACTCAGGAACTATATTGATTTCATACAGTGCGAACGTAAATAGCCTCTCTCTTCCTTTTAACTTTCGAACGGGCCAAGATATCAGAATTGGACTAAATTTTTGTAAAAAGGAATCTTTTTCAGTCCTTTTTGATGAAAAAGCCAACAGTGTGATATCACTTGCCTCAGAGAGAGCGCTATCACCTTTTTTTCGAATTGAAAGGGGAGGGGGGGTTTGTGGCACATAGTATGAAAGGTATTTCAATTCTCTGCCCAAAAAAGAACGATTGGGAGGTCGTCAAGAAGGTTATCACAGCACTGGCAGTTGAATGGGCTATCAAGTCGTTTCAGCTCTTCTTCAAAATGGACTAAAAATAAAAGTTTACAGAGCTAGTCTGGCATGGAACTATATACCACTCAGTTGGTTGGAAAGACCCACACCCTAAATCGGTACGACCAATCAGGTTTACATCCTTCCTGTTGAAAGGACTTGAGAGGATACTGGACGGACACATCAGGAGGGTGACATTATATGCATCACCCCTGAATAACCACCGGTATGCTTATCAAACCGGCAAATCGACAGATTTAGCATTAAACAAATTTGTAGAGAAAATTTCCCAATCCCTTGAAAACAAGGAGATTGCGATTGCTGTATTTCTCGATATTGAAGGAGGATTTGACAATGCACTACCTAAATCTATAGTATCATCTTCTAGGAAAGGTATAGAAAGGCTAGGAAAGGTATAGAATCGACCATAACTGGCTAGATCTATGCCATGCTGGTAAACAGAACTGCAACTACGACTCTTCGAAGCGAGGCCATTAGGTTCAGGGTCACCAGAAGGTGCCCTCAAGGTGGGGTACTATCTCCACTTCTGTGGTCGCTCCTGATGGATAGTCTGCTTGATACCTTCGACAGAATAAAAGTAGATCTGCAAGCTTATGAACATGACCTTGTCATCTTGGCAAGGTCCACGTCGTGAAGGGTAGCTTGTAATATCCTCCAAAGCACGATGGACGTTGTTCACAGTTGGTGCCTGAGGGGGCACACGTCTGTCAACCCCAGCAAAACTGTGATAATCCCCTTCACCAGGAGAAGAAAATTGGTGAGGTCATCCCATTTGGAATGTATGTGAAATATCTTGGCATTGTCCTTGATAAAAAAACTCACCTGGAACGCTTACTTGGAAAACGTTTTATACAAAGCCAGACTGTCCCTATGGACATGTCGAAGGATTTGTTGTAAAACTTGGGGTTTAGGTCCCAAACAAATCCACTGGATTCATGTGATGATTGTCAGACCAATGATCACTTATGGTGCAATTGCCTGTTGGCCGTGGGGGGGTTTGTGGCACATAGTATGAAAGGTATTTCAATTCTCTGCCCAAAAAAGAACGATCGGGAGGTCGTCAAGAAGGTTATCACAGCACTGGCAATTGAATGGGCTATCAAGTCGTTTCAGCTCTTCTTCAAAACGGACTAAAAATAAAAGTATACAGAGCTAGTCTGGCATGGAACTATATACCACTCAGTTCGTTGGAAAGACCCACACCCTAAATTGGTACGACCAATCAGGTTTACATCCTTCCTGTTGAAAGGACTTGAGAGGATACTGGACGGACACATCAGAAGGGTGACATTATATGCATCACCCCTGAATAACCACCAGTATGCTTATCAAACCGGCAAATCGACAGATTTAGCATTAAACAACCTCGTTGAGAAAATCTCCCAATCCCTTGACAACAAGGAGATTGCGATTGCTGTATTTCTCGATATTGAAGGAGGATTTGACAATGCACTACCTAAATCTATAGGATCATCTTTGGCTAGGAAAGGTACAGAATCGACCATAACTGGCTAGATTTATGCCATGCTGGTAAACAGAACTGCAACTACGACTCTTCGAAGCGAGCCCATTAGGTTCAGGGTCACCAGAGGCTGCCCTTAAGGTGGGGTACTTTCTCCCCTTCTGTCATCTTGGCAAGGTCTACATCGAGAAGGGTAGCTTGTAATATTCTCCAAAGCACGATGGACGTTGCTCACAGTTGGTGCCTGAGGGAGCACATGTCTGTCAACCCCAGCAAAACTGTGATAATCCCCTTCACCAGAGAAAATTGGACGATCTAACGCTAATTTCCCTCAATGGTGAGGTCATTCCATTTGGAACGTAGGTGAAATATCTTGGCATTGTCCTTGATAAAAAAACTCATCTGGAACGCTTACTTGGAAAACGTTTTATACAAAGCCAAACTGTCCTATAGACATGTCGAAGGATTTGTGGTAAAACTTGGGGTTTAGGTCCCAAACAAATCCACTGGATTCATGTGATGATTGTCAGACCAATGATCACTTATGGTGCAATTGCCTGTTGGCCGAAGGCTTTACAGAAAACGGCCCAGGCGAAGCTCCCTGGCTTACAGAGACAGGCTTGCCTGGCCATCAGTGGTGCCATCATTACCACAACGTCAACGGTCATGGAGATCCTTCTAGATCTACCTCCTCTCCACATTTTTCTGGAGAAAGAGGCTGCGTATAGACTTGTGCACATTACCAAATGTTAATTGACACTGGAAGTCACAGCATTCTGGAAATGATCTCTGACTTTATGCCTCCAACTGGCAACTATGAACTGCTTTATAAAGTACTGTTCCTGAGTAAAGAGACTGGATCCTCCGGGAGAAGGAAATATTGAGAGCAGATAGTTGTTGGTTCACAGATGGATCAAAAACACCTTCCGGTTCTGATGCAGGTGTTTTCAATCGCAGATCCAGGACAGAGATATCAACCTGCCTAGGAACCTATGCGACTGTATTCAAGCAGAAATTTAATTTACGCTATGAAATTGTGTGCGGAGAGATTGGAAGAATCCAACCGCATACACAAGTCAATAAACATTTTCTCGGACAGTCAAGCGGTGTTGGAAGCTCTTGGCTCCTACCGAGCAAAGTCTAAATTGGTAGCAAATTGTCAAAAACGACTCTCCTCAATAGGAAGACTTAACAGATTGTCTCTGGTATGGATTCCTGGCCATACTGGCCTGGAAGGCAATGATGCTACTAACTGCCTTGCAAAGGAGGGTGCTGCAAGCAGCTTCATTGGCATCGCTTTAGGCTTTGACAAACAAAGATTGAACACCTGGATAGCAGATTTATGGACTTATGGACTTCTGGCAGAATCTTCCAGGATTGGCTGACTCCAAGGCGTTTATTCACCCTTCGAAGTTTGAATCCAAACTGTTGTTGGACTACAGTAGTGAACTACGATGTCTAACAGGCCTTCTTACATGTCACTGTCATTTGAATCATCATATGCAGAGACTCAGACTATCGGAAGATAGTGTGAGTCGCCTCTGTTTGGAAAATGATGAAACAGCAGAGCACATACTTTGTGTCTGCCCTGCAGGGGACCGAATCAGGTTTTTAGAGTTCGGCAAAGCCGTACTCTTACCATCTGATCTGAAATACCACTCAGCATACAAACTAATCGGCTTCGTTAATAATCTGGGTTTATTTGGTCGAGTGTGAATAGATGTGAACCACAATAAATCCTTTCGGGTTGCGGTGGAGGGTCGAATAGACCTACTCACTTTGGACCTAAGCTAACCCTAACCTTAATCTCATTTTGCTTTCAATAGATGTGTTTATACTGTATATGTCTCTCTTGTTTAGTCCCCTAACTATCGAAAATACGTTTTTTTGGCCCATCTTCAACTTTGTCACCAAAATGTTGAACCAGCTGTATAGTCACGGTTTGTAACAGTATCTGCAAAATAATATTTCAGTTATGAAATAAAGCATGAGTCATTGTTTAATACGAACTTTCAGAGTGCAACTTTATGAATATCATGAATTTGTCAGCTTAGTCATTTATCTCTATTTGAACGTCTGATGTCTAATCGTGTTTTATAAAAAAATATGTAAACATTGAACGAATATTGCTTCAAAATTACTGTTGCATGAGCTTCATCATAACACAAAATGGAAACGTTATTATATTAGCAAATTCAGTTTAATAACTTGATTACTCACTTCGTATCTAATCTTATCTTTGTATGAGTTTTCAACAGTTAATCTGCCAATAAATGATTTATATTTGATGTTATTCCTAAATAAAATTCTGTGACAAAATTATACGTTCTTGGTATTTATTTTCCATTCATGTAATTAAAATGAAACATAAAATGATTGTATACAGCGTCGTC